AACAAATTCACGTTTCTTGCACTTCCAAAGTCTGAAAGTTTAGCGTTTACTTCGATGATACTTTGCAACTCAACAACAAGAATATTGCCGGGCTTGATGTCTCTGTGGAAAATGCCATTGAGGTGTAAATAGTTTACACCCTTTGTGGCGTCTAAAAGGATTTTATAACGAATTGTTAATGGCAATATAATGTCATCGCACTGAAGCACATCAGTGTGACTACATTTCACTTTATATTTTTTGATGATCTGATCCAAACTCCCATTAATGATATACTCCATGACAATCATATGTTTTCCGTTTTGTGCTACAGCTCCAATAAATTCAACTATAAACGGATTTCGTATTTTTTGTAACATGTCGACTTCTGTTATGAACTCATCGTCTTTGACATTTTTGAATTGTCTGATCTTCTTCACTGCGACTGTACGCCCTTTATATGTTGCTTTGAATATGATACCAACACCACCCCGACATATTTCAGTCATATTAGTAATGCTACTGTTGTCAATCCACGTTGAAAGTGCCGTTGAAAATATGAGTGGTATTCTTTTGGTTAACTCGACACCACGTTCCAGAAATACACAACTCAGTGTCAACGAACTTTTAAAATCGCCAGAATATGTCGGTGAAATTTCAATTGTGAAAAGACAAGCGTCTCTTGGTCGTAATGTGACGACTTTTGGCGAGATGGTTATTTTGTAACTTTTGCGATGAATGTAGACCAACTGCAGCTTTACACAATATTTCGATTTGTTGGCAAATACAACTGTTTTAATACACATTCTGTTGACTGGTAAGTCAACACCAAAATCAAGTATTGATGAATTTGTGTATATCTTGTCTATAAGTTGTTTTATTGGTTCTCTGACACAACGAATAGAAAATATACCATTTTTCTTTCTCTCTACATTAAGGTGATGTGTCTGTATGATGTACAATCCGACAAAACTCATAATGATTGTAATTAATATAAGTAAGATTATACATCCAAATATCACAATAAGTAGGATCTTAATCATATTTATTTTATCACAAGATATTGTGTCGTCACTTTTAACGTACCAAAAGTTGCATCGTTCACACAACGAATTTGTTACATTCACACAACGATTTATATACAATCGCTCTTTGCATATACCAGTAGATAAGACCATGTTGTTACTGCACTTGTTGCACAATTCTGCTGTTGTACACAATGAACAGTTTTGTTTGCATTGAATACAACGCAGTCCACTTTTGTAATACCCATCAGAACATTTCAAACACCCCAAAGTCTCTGAGAATTTGCCACAATTTGTGATGTTGTAGACACTCTCACAAATTCCATTTTCATTTACAAAATATTTTTTATCACACTTATCACATTTTATATCGTCTTTACAAATTGCACATGGAAAAGTACACTTAAAACACAAAGAATTGCTAATATAATATCCATCCACACATTGTGCGCATTGCCCATTCGCATCATATAAATTGCAAACGCCTTCAAGTGCAAAAATAGTGAGACACTTCCCGTTTGAAAGGACGGTGCCTGTGATACAACTTTGACACTTCTCCGAGTTTTCTGTACATTCTGTGCACTTTGTATTACATTTGCTGCATTTGTTATTTTTGTCGATGTAATACCCCTTTGCACATCGAAGACACCCAATAGGTGTAAACATTTCACAATTATCACTTTGTGTGATGGTGCCTTGGTAACACTTTCCATGCAATAAAACATAATTAGACTCACATTGATAGCACACGTTTTCTATGAAATACAAACAATGTGTTATGGATGCTTGGCACTTGCCATTCTCAGACGATGTGTAACCGCGTGGGCACTGTGTTGTTGTTTTTAAAGTGCTTGAAATTGTGATTGAAATAGCACAATTTAGTGAGGTGTCGAGTGAATACCCAGAAATGCATTTGGTGCACTTCTTCTTGTCACACAACTCACAGCTCAAAAAAGTCCTTTTACATAAGTGACATGAGTTTTGGTGATTATAGTACCCATCATTGCAACTGATTACAGAATGTGAGTATACTATCTTTTCTCCATATCCTTTAGATTGACATTTCTCATTGATTAAAATTGAATTTGATGCACATATAGAACACACCCCTCGCAAACAAAACAAGCATTTTTCATCACATTTTTTAAATTCGTGTTTTTGATAATCAAACGTACCACCTAACGCAGCACAAATACCACCAAATAATTCTTTACAAAACCGAGTTCTTATACAATTTCCTGCTTTGTTCATAAAATAGCCATCACTGCATTGTATTGCATATGTTTTGTTGACACAATCTCTGGTGTTATTTTCACATGTTACATATTTGTTGTTATCGAAAAACATATGTGATATGTACTTCCCTCCACTTTTAATAATACTTTTTAATTGCTTATGGTAGTAATACACCAAATCAAATTTATACATACCCGTATTTGTTAAATATTTGTTACTCAAAAGTAGAATTCCTTGAATGCTTTTATATCCTAAAAAAGTAGTATACAAATCATTGGTAATAAAATACACTACAATTGGAATATTTGACACTTCTATAATTGAGTATGTGTCGTTATTTAAACTGACTCTATTCACATTTTCATTAACAAATGTAGTTGTAGAGTCCGCACAATTCACGGTGAATTGAGTTTTTTCTGGTGATACGAGTACCGTTTTTTCGATATAATAAAAACAATGTGGTATTTGTGCTTTAAATAAGTTTTTCTTTTCAATAATTCCAAAATTTCCTTTGAAATAACAATTGTAACAAAGATCAACAACAAGGTCCACTAAAAATTTTTGTTTGAAATCAATATATAGTAAATCTATAGTCGGTCCAATGTATATTGTTTTGACTTCGGATATGACAAGCATTGGATGTGTTCTATTGGCTGGGTACGGACAGTGTGGATGTGTAAATGATGTTATAACTCCGCAAAATTTAAAGTTATTATCGAAGTTACTGTCATTAATATGGCAATACACCTCTGTTGGAAAATTAGCACTTTTTAAAGTTTCATGTTTTTCCAAAAATTGAGGAACGTCTTTGGAAATGTTGTGAAGTGAATTTTTGATGGTTTTATTTTGTGTGCCACTAGAAAAGTCACCTTTATTAATAAATTTAGTGTTATTATGACCACTATTATAATATCTATCAGGACAATACCTCAGTAATCTTCCATTCGCCATCAATTGTAAATATATGACATACTCTGGTAGCGACATCCTTTTATTGAAAGATATGAAGTCAAAACAGTTGTCTGAAAATATCGCAGTCTTGACTCGAAATAAGTATGCACCATTTAATATGGTAAATATAGGGTTTTTGTATATGTCTGCGTTATAAACAAATATAGATACATAACAAATTATAAAAGACAAACATCGACGTGAATACACTTCATCTGTTATTGTAAATGTAGCACATATTTTTTTGTTAATATGTTTGCTGTATATATAAAATATTGCGCCACTCTCTATCTCAATTTTAATAAGATGGTTTATATCTCTATTATATAATAAGAGCGCATTTGTAATTTCAAAATGTGACCCACTTGGAAATAAGCCATGCGATGAATTCCAAAACTCTATACACGAATTGATTGATAAAAAGACACTTGAACTAAATTCAACGCTTGAATAATCGCGAAAAGATAATAAACAGTATGTATAAAATTCCTCTGGATATATTTGTGGAACGTCAATAGAGATGGTGATATTATCAGAATATTTCGATGATGAATTGTCATGGAATGATAACAGAGTGTTCAATTGTATGTTGAGATTTTTATCAAAATATAGACGTGATGAGTTGTAACATGTAAACATGGCGGCTTCAATAAAAACAGCGCCTTTGAAAGTTGCTTTGGAGTCATCATAGAGAATGATGGAACTAATAGTTTCGATTTTTGCGTTGCCTGATATTAAAAATGAAGAATTGTTGACAAAGATAAGACCTTTCTCATTCGTTGATTTTTCGTCTGTTGAATGCAAATTTCCTTCTATTTTAAATGATGAATAATTTGATATTATGATTTTCTTTAAAATTGTCACAGACGCGTCTTGTTGGATGTTAAATATGGACATATCACACATACAAATTGTACCATCCAACACAACACTTTTATTATTCAAATAACCATTTGTATTTGTTATATCAAATTTGGCAATTTCAGAGAAGTCAAACACGTTAAAAGTTATACTACATTCAATTGCATCAATCATAAAAATGGAATTTTGTTTTATTTGTATTGTGTTGGAACGCAGTTGTATTTTGTCAAAAATTGAAATAACCGAATCACCAGTCGATGTGATATTGTCAATGTTTAAAACACTTAAAGTTCGCATTGTCACGCTCGAATCCACAATTTCAAAGTGTTTAAAGGTGCACATTCCATTAGAAAAGACATCACTATGATTTGTAATTGTTATCATAAAATAGTTTAATATGTTTTCTTTTGTAAATACCACAGTCGACTCCGATACTTCCAGTGTATTTTGTATTGTTTCATTTGTAATTTTAACGTTGTCAAAAATCAAAGTCGAGTTCTTGTTTATTTTAATGTTTTTAATTTGCAGTAAAATGGACGATAAAGTGATTTGTGCGTTCTCTTCAGTTGTTAAAGTGTTTGTGTGTATCACACTTCTTAAAATTGCTTTGAATGTCGTGTTCTTTTTCATATAAATGTTGATACTGTTTATTTCGCAATTTTCACAAATAAAACTTCCGTTTTCTTCAATAAAAACGTCACCAACAATTACCAACTTTCCTCCATTTGAAATAGAAGACTTTTTGTAATTTTCAAATTTCCAAAAACAAATAACGATCCGTCACTAAACAAATTATTTTTTATCAAAAAGTCATTGTGTACTTCAACAATAGATCCTTCTGAGAGTAAAATTGAATAATTAGAAAATGTTTTCAGTCCTTCTAATTGTGTTTTTGAATTAATCAAAAATGAAATTCCATTTGAATAGTCAAGATTCTGATCGAGTTGTATTTTGTAGTTTCCATCGATTTCAACACGCGGAAAAGTTTTAAATGTAATAGCACATTCTTTTGTCAAATTGAAGTTGTAAGAGATATAGAGAATATCACAATTGTGAATGTTGTCGTTACTGTCTTATTTGTTAATTATTTTGTGTATAAAAATAAGAATTATTTGTGTGTTATTTAAAAAATTTTTTATCGTTAGTTTGTAAAAACAAGACAAACTTAATACTTTAAAGCCATCTGAACATTGGCTTGAAGTGGGTTGGCATATTATATTTGCACAAACAAAACACCAAAACATCAATAAGAACAACGCCATAATTCGTAAGTTTGTTCGATAAATAGTTTATAACTATGGATCTTTTTAAAAAGTCATTTTAATATTTTACAAATCTGGTTAAAACCCGTGTTATATTTTAACTTTTTTTAATTTGAATGGTTTTAATAATATTATTATAATAAAAAGTATAATACAGGCAGTGAAGTGAAGGTATAAATTTTCAATTGATTGCTAAATAAAAGGGTTTTCTTATCCCAAAACATTTTATTTTGATTGGTTAAAACTGTCATTCTCAATAAAACCCTTATTTAACAAGCCGAATTTGTTCTTTTTATTATAATAATTATTGCCATTTTGATTATCTTGTTACCATTTTGTTTGTTTGGAGATTATATTTTATAGTTATTTTAATCATTTATAAACTATAAAAAAAAACAATCACACATAAACCAAGAAGCGAATAAACCAATATAAAAACATCACTTAACAAAACTTGACAACAAAGCAAACTCCATAATCCCGATTCATCACATTCAAACAGATGATAATTGTGTTTGTTTTTGCAAGCTCGCCCAATAGCTACAATAGCTAATAACCACACTCACAACTTACCATTAATTAAAGATCTTAAAGATGATGTAATGAAATTTAATATTTGAATATTTATGTAATAAGTGGCTAAATAATGACAAAATAACAACAACAAACGTGTAAAATGACACCAAAAATTTTTAATCTTTGTTTTCTTTTTTTAACAAGAGTTAATGCTTGGTGTTTGCTATTTTCTTTTTTCGACTTCAATTTATTTTTTAAGTTCGTTCAATTTTATTTTTCAACTTATTTTTTCAGCAAAGTCGAATTTAAAAATAATCTAAAAATGGGTCTAAATTTTTTCAAAATATTATTTTAGTTTTATTGACTAAAAATTTAAACCCGAAAAAACAGTAAAAAAATGACGTAAAATTGTTCTGTTATTCTCAAAACCCTTATATTTAGTATCA